GAGCTCTGGCTACCACCTCTGTACTCTAGATAGCAAGAAGAATGAGAGTAAGGACATGCCCCTTCTTGTTCATCCTATTAGACAGAACTTACTTACATAGCTTTTACTAAAGTGGCCTGTGGGATTTCTAACAGGGCCAGAAACATGCTCAGAAAAGACCCAAGAGGACCCTAGGCTTGCACCTTTGGCTGATCTCTGGGATCCATGCAAGCAGGAAGCAAAGGCTAAGGCAGAGTGGTAGGTGTCCTAGCTAGGTGCAGCAGAAATGTCCAGCTCAGAGACAGTCTTAAAAGACCAACAGTGTTTTCTTTTAGTTTGTTTTTTGTTTTGTTTTGTTTTGGCTCCAGGTGTTTAAGGAAATCTGTGTTTGGTCAGTGGCTGACTGATGAGATAATGGAACAGAGACTTCAGTGACTGTACATGACAAGGAATACAGCGTGCAAAAAAATAGTAATTTGGAAATGTCACTAAACAAATGGATGACTGTAGCCCCTAATGAGAAATAACAGCAGACCTTCCAAAGGGGGAACAGAATCTAATTTCCAAAGTTATAATATTCAAAATGTGCGATTTTCAACAAAAAGTTACAAAGCAAACAAAGAAAAAGAAAAGTATAACTCATTCAGAGGAAAAAGAAATTGACAGAAACCATCCCTGAAGAAGCCGAGATATTGGACTTCCTAAGACCAAGACTTTAAAGGAACAGTCTTGGGCAACCCTCTCGGGTCCCCTCCCTCTTTGGGAGCTTTGTACTCTATCATTCAATAAACTTCACTATAGCTCAATAAATTTTGCTTTGCTGCCCACCAATAAATAAATAAGTAAATTAAATAAAATAAATAAATAAATAAATAAATAAATAAAGGAACTGTCTTAAATATGCTCAAATAGCAGGACGCCTGCGTGGCTCCATCGGTTAGGTGTTTGTGTTTGGCTCAGGTCATGATCCCAGGGTCCTGGGATCGAGCCCCAAGTCGGGCTCCCCACTAAGCAGGGAGTCTGCTTCTCTCTCTCCCTCTGCCCCTCCCCCCTTGCTTGTGTGCTCTCTCCCTCTCTCAAATAAATAAAAATCTTTCGAAAAATATGCTCAAATAGCTACAAGAAACTTTGGACAGAGAACTAAAGGAAGCCAGAGAACAATCTAAATATAAACAACCAAAGGATATCAAGAGAAATAGAAATTATTAAAAGGAACCAAATAGAATAATTCTGGAGCTGAAATGTACAACAAATAAAATGAAAAATTTGAAAAGCTCAACAATATTGATGAATCTTTAGCTAAACTGACTAAGAAAAAAAGAGAGAAGATGCAAATAATTAAAATCAGGAAGGAAAATGGGGGCATTACTATAATGCTTGCAGTGGGGAAAGGATTAGAAGGGAATACTATGAGGGCACCTGGGTGGCTCGGTTGGTTAAGCATCTGCCTTCGGCTTAGGTCATGATCTCAGGGTCCTGGATCGAGTCCCGTGTCGGGCTCCCTGCTCAGTGGGGAACCTGCTTCTCCCTCTCCCACTCCCCCTGCTTGTGCTCTCTGTCTTTCTAATAAATAAATATCTTTTTTTTTAAAGATTTTATTTATTTATTTGAGAGAGAATGAGAGACAGAGAGCATGAGAGGGAGGAGGGTCAGAGGGAGAAGCAGACTCCCTGCTGAGCAGGGAGCCTGATGCGGGACTCGATCCTGGGACTCCAGGATCATGACCTGAGCCGAAGGCAGTTGCTTAACCAACTGAGCCACCCAGGTGCCCCAATAAATATCTTTTTTAAAAAAGGGAATACTATGAACAATTGTGCACCAACAAATTAGACAACTTAGATGAAATGGACAAACTCCTAGAAACACACAAATTACCAAAACTGCTCAGGAAGGAAGAGGAAATTGGAGCAAACTTATAAAAACAAAACAAGATTGAATCAGTGATCAAAAATCTCCCCAAAGGCATATAAGACAGTTTCTCAGGGTGAATTCTACAAAACCCTTAAAGAAGAATTAACATTGGGTGGCTCAGTAGGTTAAGTTGCTGACTCTTGATTTCAGCTCATGTCCTGGGATCTCAGGGTCCTGGGATCAAGCCTTGTGTCAGGCTCTGAGCACAGTGGGATGTCTGCTTGAGGATTCGCTCTCTCTCTCTCCCTCTGCCCCCCCCACTTGCTTGCATGCTCTCTCTCTCTCTCTCAAATAAATAAATCATAAAAAAGAAGAATTAACACCAATCCTTTTCAAACTCTACCAAAAGATAGAAAAGAAAATATTCCTAACTCATTTCATGAGTCTTTACATTTCATATTAGGAGCTGAAATTCAACCTCTCACTAATGCACAACACTAAAAGCTCCCAAAATAACAAACCTGGCTGGGCAGTCCTTCCTTCGGGATTCTGCAGAGGGTGCTCACGTGTTAGAGTTAGAGTTTGTGACCCTCAAGTGTCCTTCCCGTTTTAATAACTTATTATTTTAGGGGCACCTGGGTGGCTCCATTTGTTAAGCATTGGACTAATGATTTTGGCTCAGGTCATGATCTCAGGGTTGTGAGACTGAGCCCCAAGTCCAGCTCTGTGCTCTGCGGGGAGTCTGCTTGAGATTCTCTCCCTCTGCCTTTCCCTGCCCATCTGTGTGCACGTGCTCTCTCTCTCAAATAAATAAATCTTTAAAAAAAGAACTTATTTTATAATTCTGTTAAATGTAATTAATTTCTCTAATTTAGCAAAGATCATTATTTGTATATTATTTTGTCTGTCAAAATGCTGGCCTGCTCCATTTCCATCTTGGGTTAATTTGGGTTTAAGCAGCTTTTATTTTTTTTATTTTTTATTTTTTTAAAGATATATTTATTTATTTTAGAGAGAGAGAGCACGGAGGGGAGGGACAGAGGGAGAGAGAGAGAATCTTGAGCAGACTCCCTGCTGAGCATGGAGCCCGATGCAGGGCTCAGTCTCACAACCCTGAGATCATGACCTGAGCCAAAATCAAGAGTTGGACCAACTGAGCCACCCAGGTGCCCCGCATTTAAGCAGCTTTTAAAAAATATTTGTTTTTTTCCCATTTGTCTATGGCTAATTGATTTCTGACAAGGGGGCCATGGCCATTCATTGGGGAGAGAACAGTTTTTTAACAAATGGTACTGGATATCCACATGCAAAAGAATGAAGCTGAACCCAGACCTCACACCATATACAAGAATTAACTCAAAATGGATCAACCACCTAAATATAAGCATTCTTATAAAACTCTTAGAAGAAAACACAGAAGTAAATGTTCATGATTTTGGATTTGACAATAGATTCTTAGATATGACACTGAATGTACAAGCAATGAAAGAAAAAATATCAACTGGAATTAATAAAAACTAAAGGCATGTGTACATTAAAGGACATTATCAGAAAGTGAAAAGATAACCTACGGTGTGGGAGAAAATATTTGCAAACTGTGTACTGACAGGGGTCTGGTATCCAGGTAGGTAAAGAGCTCATACCACCCGGCAACAAAAAGATAACCAAATTTAAAAATGGGCAAAGGAAAAAAAAAATAGGCAAAGGACTTGAATAGATGTCTCTCCAGAGAACATACTCAAATGGCCAATGACACATGAAAGATGCTCAACAGCACTAATTAATAGGGAGACGCAAACCAAAACCAGAATGAGGTACCCCTTCATACCCACTGGGAAGGCAATAATAATAATAACAATAGTAATTTTTTAAATGGAAAATAAGTGTTGGACAGTGTGGAGAAACTGGAACTCTCTACTGATGGCTAGTGGGAATGTAAAATGGTTCATCCTCTGTGGAAAACAGTTTGGTGGTTCCTCAAAAAGTTAAACATAGGATTTCCATATGATCCAGAAAGTCAACTCCTAGGTATGCACCCCAAATAATTGAAAAAGGTGCTCAAGCAAATACATGTACACACATGGTTACAGTAGCAGGACTGACAATAACCAAAGGGTGGAAACAGCCCAGATGTGATCAATGAGTGAATGGATCAACAAATAGTGGGACATACATACAACAGAATATTATTTAGCCATGAAAAGGAATGAAGGCGAATACAGGCCACAGGAAGGATGACCCTCAAAGACATTATGCTAATCAAAAAGGCCAGACCCCAAAGATCACATATTGTATGATTCCATCTATATGAAATGTCAGAGTAGGTAAATCCATGGAGATAGAAGTCGGTTGGTGATTGCCAAGAGCTGGGGGAGAAGGGGATGAAAAAAACTGGGTAACAGGTAGGAGGTTTTCCAGTGATGGGAAGGTTTTGGAACTAGGGATAGGTGGCTGGGATTGCACAATACTATGAATGTACAAAATGCCACTGCGCACTTTAAAAAGGTTAATTTTATGTTATGCGAATTTTACCTTAATTTTTTAAAAAAAGCGAAGCCACTCAGAAATACCAAATTGCTGACCATCTCAGCTCGCCCCATATACTCCTAAATCCAGGAGTCACAACTCCTTCAGCCAACTCACAGGTCATCGGTAGCAGTTTCATCCCTGTACAATTTTATCTAGAGCTCCTGGTGGCTCTGATGTTCTAGAAAATAGAGCAGGAACATTCTCGTGATGTTAGCTCACAGGCGGAAGCGGGAGACCGGGGACCCAACACTACAAGGAAAGAGATGTCCTCCAAGCAAATGCGCTACGGCTCCAAGCAGCTGCCAGGCCCCTGTGCGATCAGAGGCCGGCGTCCCCGCGGCGCCACAGGGGCAGCTCAGGCCCTGGCGAGCGCCAGGAACCGGCCGCGAAGGCCAGGCTCCAGGTGAGGCGGAGCCGGGGCCAAGGGCGGGACCTGGCAGGGGCCGGGGGCGGGACCTGGGCGGAGCCGGGGCGGGGTCTGCGCGGGCGACTGGGCCCGGGCCGGATGGGCGCTCGGCCAGCTGCGTAAACACTGCTGGAGCGGTGCGGCCGAGCCGGGCCCGGTAAGCTGGTGGGGCTGGGGAGCGCGGGCCCGGCCGGGTCTTCCGCCGCTTGGACGGCGCGGGGTGGAGCCGCGACCCGCGGGCGGGGCGGTGGCCCCCGCACACCCCTCTCCGGGGCGGGTCGCGGCCCCTTCCCCGGCGCGGGGCTGCGGTCCCTGAGCGCGCCTGTCCGGTCTCTGCGAGCGGCGCAGGGGCGGAGAGGGGAGCGCGCGGGGAAGCGGCGGCGGCGGGGGCCAACCGGGACCTCGTGAGTGGGAGGAGCGCGGGAAGCGGCCCCCAGGCCTGGGCCTACGCCGGGCTGTGTCCGCCTCCCAGCGGCCGGAGCACGCTAGTGGTGGGCGCGGCGCGACGCGGCGCGGCCCGCAGGAGGACCGGGCATTTAAAGGAGCAGCTCACATGGGTTTGGGAGGCTCGGGCACGGCGTCCTTCCCGCGCTGGGGCCGCCTTGGCTCCCGGGCCGGTGGGCCTTCGAGGCAGGGGGTAGGCGAGGGTCTGACCGCCACGGTGGGGAATCGCCCGCAGGTCGGGCCTGGAGCCGGCAATTTCGCTATCAGCGGTGCTTGGCCGTTTTAAAGCCGTGAGGAGACTCCCAGAATCAAGCTTTTGAAGCTGGAGGAAACAGAAACAGGCCAGTACCCACCCTACATTTTATCGATGAAGAAACTCGGCCCACAGAGCTAACGTGGCTGTCCAGGGCCAGTCAGGTAGGATAGAGTAGAGCCAGGCTCAGAACCCGCTAAGCTAAGGGTTCGCCGTCTGGCCCGGGGGTCTGCTGTCCAGCCCTGGCAGCAGACCTCAGCCCTTTGGTAGCTGGATGAAATGCTCCTGTCTGCTGAATTAATGAGTATTTCCTTTTTAAGGATGAACTGTGGGTTCGTGGACTAACTGCGTCCCCATTTACAGATGGAGAACCTGAGAGGCATCCCCTCCAGAGCCAGCTTAACTCACAGTCGTCAGCCTGGGCTTTCCAGCCCGTCCTGACAGTAACTTGATCAGGACCGACCCTGGCTTCTGGTATGGATGCCCTTGATGTCCATTTTGTAGACACCTGAGCCTCCAGTGTTTCAGCAGTAATTAAAGACACGGGATAAGCTGCTTCAGGTGTGGGAGCCTCGGGTGCCCCTGGCCGTGAAGGCGGCTGTGTGGGAGCAGGGAGGTGTGTCAGCAGCTGTGTCTTCTGAGCCTGGCTGGTGAAGGGGCAGGGGTCCTGGCACCAGCTCAGAGCTGCAACCTCAGCCACCCATTGGGCAGACAGGTAGGCGGGCGGTCCAGATTCATTCCTGGGGTGTGTGAAGGGGCCTTTAGGTCTGGGGCTGGAAATGGGGGGCTTGGAAGAACGTTTGCTGCAGGGTGGGATAGATGTCATTTCGGGTTTTCAGGGAAAATTCTGCATGGTTTGGTGTTCAAGTGGCTGTGCATCAAGTCTAGACTCTTACTTGGTGCATGCACGGGGGTTGGATGAAATGAATGCCCTGTTCCTATCTATTGGAGAAAGCAGCATAAGAAAGAGCCTGGCTGGAGGCTGCCCCTCATGTGCCTGGAGGCCTGGTGTGTGTTGCCATGCCTGTCACCTGTCCCCTCAGCACCTCGATGGCTGCTCCCAGTCCCACTGCATACATGGGGTTTGCCAAATGAGAGGCCTCCCCTACCTTGGTCTCTGAGTTATTTTTAATTTTAATTTTTTAAGGTTTTATTTATTTGAGTAATCTTTACACCCAACATGGGGCTTGAACTCATGACTCCGAGATCAAGAGTCACACACTCGTCCAGCTGAGCCAGCCAGGCACCATAAGCCTCTGAGTTATTGATGATGAGCATAAAGTGTGTCATATGCAATGTCTCTTTACAGCTGCAGTCACACAAAAGTAGCTATTATTTTTACCAGCTACAGTAATGGAAAACTGAGGTTCAGGGAGTTAAGCCACTTGTCCTGTTAGGTGCCTTCGGTGACTAGAGCACCAGGATTTGAACCCAGCTGGCTGGGTCTTAATCTTTTGAGTTTTTGCATAGGGACACTTCCCACATTCACCCCTACCTGTGTCCCTGCCCTACTGCCCTGGAAATTTTTATGTGCTCTCCATTAGTATCTACTTGACAAAGCAATAAAAATAAAAATAATTTTTAAAAGATTTTATTTATTAGAGAGCATGAGAGCATGAGTGGGGGAAGGGCAGAGGGAGAGGGAGAAGCAGGCTCTCCACTGAGTGGGGAGCCTAACACGGGGCTCAAAGACCCTGGGACCCTGAGATTGTGACCTGAGCTGAAGTCAGACATTCGACCCACTGAGCCACCCAGGTGCCCGCCAAATAATTTTTTTTAAAGAGACCAAAGCAGTGTGTGTGTAGGTCACATGCGTGTTTCTACCAAAGATATCTTTGGCTGGTTTACAGCTGTTGCTTTGAGTTTGGGACGCTGTTTAGTTGGAGACTGGCAAGACAACCGGTGTTTCTGCAAGTATTCCCACCTGTTCCCCAACTCCAGTGGCTGGGGGAGGGCTGGGGGGGAATGTCAGGGCTCTGAGGCTGGCACAGGCTGCCCCCCACCAGGGCCTGGGAGGGGAGCTTGGTCGGACATGGGCCTCACGCCTTGTGTATCCAGTGTTGGCCTCCAGGCCTGGAGGTGGTGAGGCTGCTGTGGTAAAGTCTGGGGAAAGACCAGATGTTAGGGAGGGGATCAGTGTTGTCCAGCTTCTTCATTGCCTGGGAGAATGGGTTGCTCGTTCGTCTTTGCCACAATATGGTCTTCTGGAGCACGGGAAGAAAAATGCAGAGGGTGGTCGCCTTTCTGCTGTACCTTAACCAGAAAATCCTTGGCTTTGTAGAGGTAAAGAGAATGCATGTTTGTTCTAGAAAATCCAGGAACTGTTTTTTAAAAGGTCCTCCATTGGCTCTCAGCCCAGAGATAACCCCTGTCAGCATGCATTTCCTTACAGCACACTTCACGCATGTATATATAATCCTTTATGAAAGTATTGGATGCAGGAAGCTGGACGTGAAGTTTTGTATCCTATTTTTTGTGTGAATGTTACGTCTTCAGATTGTTCACTTCACAAATATTCTTGTGTATAGAGCACATGAGCGTGTCATTATTTATCTGACTAGTGTGTAGCAGGACACTTTCCCACCTTGAATTGACCCGGAGAAGCAGCGCGCTGACTCCGGCCCCCTCCCTGCCATGTGGAGCCCTAGTAGCAGATGAATGGATGGTTGGATGGATGGATGGATGGACGGACGGATGGACGGAGGGCAGAGTAGCCCCCAGGCTGGAGTTGAGGGGTTGGGGGCAGGAAAGAGACTGAGTGAAACCGTGATCAGGAGGCATTTGTTATTCGGCTACCTCTTCTCTGTGTTTTGAAGAAGCTGTATATTAAAGACACACACCTGCCAGTGGCAAAGGCATGTGCCTTCTAAGGATGGCTGTGCCCCCAGAGAGCACACCTGGGGTGCTGTGCGGGCCACCCCTGTGACCGTGGCCCTGGGCTACTCCCGAGTGTGTGAGCTTCACTCGTACTCTGGGTGGACAGGGAAGAGCTCCTCCATGGGCAGTTCGCTGACCTGAATCGCAGCCAAGGTTTTGGCCCCTCTGGGCTCCAGTTTCCTTAACTACAAAGTAGGGCACTGACCAGATGGCCTTTAAGGTTGGTGCCAGCTCTGGCATCTGTCCTATGGATGTGCCTCCGCCTTTGACAAAGTGTTCATGTTGCCAGAGGGCTGGGGCTAGATGGAAGCCATGTCTCCGCCACCACCCCCCCCAGGCCTGGGTGAGGGGTGACCTTGGCCGCTGAACTCTTGTGTCTAGTGGTTTAGCACGTAAGTAACTTTCCATGGGGGCGTCAACAGCTTCCCTCCCTGTCCCGCTGTATCGCTGCTTCTGTTCCGTCTTCATGGTAACTGCTGTTTCCCGAACACCTGCTCTTTACAGGACACTTTACACATTATCCCTCGTTTCCACAGGACTCTTGCAAGGTGTGTCCATTCTGCTTCTTTCCAGATGAGGAGATGGATGGCCCCGTGAGGTTAAATCAGTTGTCTCTGTGCAGCTAGGGAGTGTGTTCAAATTCCACAGCTAGGTGATTGAATCGCTGCTTCTCGTTTAAAAAGAACCCTTTTTTCCTGGGCTGGACTCAAAGATGGCATGTTAGGACCATGGCCTCTACCACTTTCCCCAAACTGCCCGCTTGCCAAGCTACTTCAGGACATGAGGGAGGTCTGCCTGGGGTCTGGACACTTCTGAGTAGAAGACGGCAGACAGGTGAATCGAGAGCCTGGGTTGAGGTTCAGGAGGCCCTGTCAGGGTACCCTGGGGCCACTGATCTGGGAGGGTGGAGCAGCCCTCTATAGGGAGGCACTCTAGCCAAGGCTGCCTCCCTGGGTTAGGGAGAACCGCCTGATGAGTAATGGTGTATCCCTGTTTGGGCTGAGGTGGACGGACAGAGGCCAACCAGGGCCAAATACATGGTCAGCTGCCCTGGGCCAGGGGGGGACAGGGAGGCTGTGGGAATTCCTGAGGAAATTTTGTCCCTTGCGAACCCCTCCCCGGTATGAGGGAGGCTGTGAGAACTTCCCGGGAGTTGTGGGGAGTGCTGCGAGGTCTGACCCTAGAGGAAGGGTCTGTGCAAACCCTAGCCACCCTCTTTGAAAGTGAGGGGTCCCCGTTGAGTTTGGCCTGCTGCAAACAAGAAACAAGGTGTGCAGGACCCTGACCTTCCTCCGTTGCCCCTACTGTTCAAGGTAAATGGGGTAACTCCCACTTTGCTTCTGGAGGAGCGATTTACATCTTTTTCCAGTGAGGCGCTCTTGGTTACTATGGCGTTTTACAGTCTGTCTCTGAAATGAGAAGGTCAAGGAAACTGGGTCACAGGGTTTCCTTAATAATTGCAGGAGCTGCTGACACAGGCACACTGGGGGAATTCTCTGGGTCAGACTCACCCGGTTTGGCTAATTCAGCTTTTCGATCCCATTCAGCTGATTAATGGGAGGAAGTGGTGGCTTCTCTGGCTGTGTGGGCTTTGCATCCTATCCCGAGCCAGGCAGCCTGCAGTTCCTGGGAAGGGCTGCCCCTCCTCCCGTCCACCCGCCCTCCCGTCTTCAGCCGGCTCCGAGCAGAGCCAGCTGGGGCTGGTTGCTGTGTGGTTGGTAGGACCTGCCATCAGGCTGTGGCAGGAGCCACTCCGCCCCCCACCCGCCCCAGTATGCCTCCCGAGGGTGTTCCTGACGTCACTGGTGCCCTGATGTGGACAAATATCGAGTAAGATTGTTGATCTGCATCCATTTGGGTGGTGATTTCCCCCTCCAGAGATTTCAGAGTGCTGTCAGGCTTCATTCAGTTCCGACTTGGAAGCAAGAGGTGTGCTGTGTTCTCCAGAGCCAGGTAAAAAGAGGGGCTGCGTGTCCACCTGTCCCCCTCACCCCCAATCCCATGAGGGCACGCAGGAGCGGCAGGATGGGAAGGAAGTCTGTCTCAATGTTGATATTCCATATGTCCCTTTAAAAAATTAATGGCTTGGGGCACCTGGATGGCTTAGTCCATCAAGTGTCCAACTCTTGATCTCAGCTCAGGTCTTGATCTCAGGATTGTGAGTTCAAGCCCAGCGTGGGGCTCCATGCTGGGCATGGAGCCTACTTTAAAAAAAAAAAATGAATGGCTTAAAAAATAAAACTACAGGCACAATCCCTGTTTATAATAGAAGGTTTGAGAAATGCAGAAAAATGTGAAAAATCACCCACAGTCTCGGCGTCCAGAGGTTAACTGCGTTTGGTATTTTGTGATCTATCTTGCCAGCCCTTCATATACGAACATTTTCTAAGAATGTTCAAATGGTCGTGAATGTGAAGGTTTAGATCCATTACATTTAACATTGGATGACCCGAGTCCTAGGCCAGAGTTGGGCATTTCCATAATTTTCACTTTTTGGACCATTGTAAGCAACCGCAGCAAATGTGTTTTTATGAAAATCTTTTATTATTTTCTTAGGGCAGTTTCCGAGAAGTAGCATTTCAGGATCAAAAGGTATGAATGTTATTAAAGCTTTCCCTGTTTGCTGCCCGCAGTTGGTGGTGCCGGAGGCGTGTGAGACCTAGTTTTTCCACCTTCCCGTCAGTGGTGGGCATCGCCTGGGGACTCCCTGGGCCTGGGAACCGCCTTCTCCCCCTGCAGATCTCCTGGCGGGAAGAGCTGCTCCCCCTCTGCTGCCTCAGTGGCTCTCTGACCAGATGGGGTTTCAGGAGGAGGACTGTTCCTTCTTTCACTCCCAGATGCAGCGAGCAGGTAGTGCTGAGCAGCGCCGGGGGGGCAGGGAGATGGATTGTAACAGGACTCCTGCAGTCCTGAGCTGGGGGCCTGGGGGCTGGCTGGGCTTCAGTTCCAGAGCTGGGCAGCCCCAGGAGAGGCTCTCAGCCAGGGGCCGTCTCAAGGTGCAGAGCCCTGGACCTTTGGTCAGAATGAAGCTGGGGATCCACACTCGCTAAGTGGTCTAGCGTAGTGTTCAGACTGCAGACCCTGACTACCTGGGTTCAAGGCTGACTTTGAACCTATCACGCTTCAGACCTGTCTCCTCATCTGTAAAATGGGCAGGAACAGCAGTGCCCAGCTCCCACGTCACTGCGTGTAGTGCGTGCTTGGGGCTCAGCAGGTGGTGTCCCCCCAGCCCTGCCCGAGGTGGCCTGGACCCTTTGAGAAACGGCATGTTAAGGGACCCAGCCTTTTCTGAGTGCTCAGTCCCCTATCAGGTGTTCAGGGGTCTGAAGGCTCCTCACCTGTCCCCACCCAGCCAGCAGGCCCAGAGGGTTGGGATTGGATAGGGCCCTTGTTCTCACAGCCACAAACCCCTCGGGGGGCCTGCTGTCCTGGGTCCTAGGAGTCTTGGGCCCGGTGTCAGGGCAGGCTTTGGGAGGAATCTGTCCAGGGAGCCTTTGTTTTCTGGCCAGGAAGCCATGCCTGAATTAGCTCTGACAGTCCTTCTTCAAGCTCACCCTGCCGGGCATCCTTCAGGGACACCAGGGAAACGCTGGGAGGCAGAAGTGGCCTCTGGGGACTGTCTTGTTAGCTGCTGGCAACTTGCTGAAGAAATGGAAATTGGAAGGACTGGTCCCCTCCTCTGTGTCCCCAGTCTCCCCCGCGGCTCCCCTTCTCCTTTCAAGAAGCATCTGTGCTCCCTGTTTGTACCTTCCCTTCTTGCTTGTCATTGGGAGCCCAGGGGACGAGGCAGGCTCGAAGGCTGCAGGTGGCATGCTTCTGAAGGCTGACGCCGTCCCCTGCCTTTGGTGGGGGAGGTTGCAGCCATGAGGCTTTCCATCCAGGGACCTGGATCTGTTCCTCCAGTCACTGCAGAGATCAAATGCAGGCACCCCAGGGGCCTGAGGGGGAGAGAAGAGGGGTCGTAACTACACTATTAATTCCTACCCCAAACAGAACTGACGTGCTAGAAAACAAGGTACTGAGAGAGCCTCCCCATAATTTCAGGTCCCCTCAGACTGGGCTCCGTCAGGTTGAATGTGTCGGGTCCCAGGTCTGGCCGCCCTCCCGTGGCCTTGAGCTGACGCTGGTGCTGGGGGACTTGCAGTGAAGAGGGAGGAGACCCCTCCCCTCGTTCTGTTCACACCCCTCTTCTGTCTCAAAGCCTTGGCTGGCCCCTCCCTTTGGGACTCAGCCCTTGCTCCTCCCTGGAGGCGGGTCCTGCCTTTTCTGACCTCCAGCCTTCCTGCTACCAGCTGGGTCCCCACGCTTTAGCTGCAGCGCTTGGTGTTTTTGGAACAGACCCCATGAGGTCCCCCATCCCACACATCTGTCTGTCAGGATGCCCTGCCTCCTCCAGTCTCTGCCTGGGAAGCTGTTCCTGGCCTTCGTCCCTCTGAATCCTTGAGACCTGAGAACCCCCCCCCCCCCCCCGACAGCTGACAGACTCCTCCTCCTCTCGACCTTAACTGCAGGAGCTTGAGCCTTGTCCCCGTTCTGGGACTTGTCTTCTGTCTTCCTCTGTTGGTCCTCCTGCTCTTGTCTTTCTGTTTTATTATTGGAGTATAATTAACGTACTCTGTAATATTAGTCTCAGGTGTGCAATCTAGTGATTCGGCGGCTCCATACGTTTCTCATCGTGCATCACGAGAAGTGTCTCTTCTTCACCTCCACCTGTTGGCCCCTCTCCCTGCTCTGGAAACCACCCTGTGGGTCTCTATTTAGGGGCTTGTTTCTTTGTATGTTCAATTGTTTTGTTTCTTGAATTCTGCCTGTGAGTGATGTCACCTGGTATTTCTCTTTCAATTCCTGCTCTGGTGGGTCTGCCCTGCATCAGGGAGCTGGTGCATTATTTTTTAATGAAGGTTTTATTTATTTATTTGAGAGAGAGAAAACATGAGTGGGGGGAGGGGCAGAAGGAGAGGGAGCAGCAGACTCCGTGCCAAGCAAGGAGCCCGACGCGGGACTTGATCCCAGGACCGTGACCCAGGATCATGACCTGAGCCAAAGGCAGGCGCTTAACCAACTGCACCCCGGAGCTGGTTCTTTTTGAGGCCCCTGTGAGACTGACCGGGAGCCTTTTGTCACAGGTCCTAGTCTGTGAGGTAAGCAGATGCGGGCTCTGCCTTTGGCCTGCAATTGGGGGATGGAGGTGAGGTCCACTAGGGAATAATCCTGGCCACAGCCCAAGTCGAAGGCCCTGCCAGGGTGAGCAGAGCTGACTGATGGTAGAAGGAACCTGCCTGCTTCATTTGGAAGTCACATGTTCCTGCGGGGGGGACTGTCGGGGAGGCACGCGTTCAACCGAGGCCAGGCCTGGCCCTCTGTCCCCAGTGCCCCGTAGCTCAGCCCTGAGGGCCTCTGGGAGGTGTTGGTGGGAGAGCAGGCCTGCCCAGGAAGCTGGAGGGATAGCCAAGTCCTCCAGGGGTTGTCTGAAGCTCTTCTAGGTCCTTCCACTGCCCTAGCTTCCTTGTGCTGCTGTGGTAAGGACACTGTGCTCGAGGAGTGCACAGTGGAGCTAGGGGCAGGCCTCCCTGCAGTGTAGACCTTCCAGCCTGGCCTTCCCAGTGGGTCCTGCCCTCAGCTGAACTTTCCCACCAGACACACACAGACACACACATACCCCACCTCTCATGTTCTCGCTGTTGCCCTGCACCCCAGACTCCTTGACCCTTTTTAACTCCTCTAACCCCCTCCCACTCAACAGGTTCCTGGACCAGACTCCATCTTTCCCCTGAGATGCTTGTCCCCTGCTCATGGCTCTGTGCCTGGCTGTCATCCTGGATTCTGTCCTGTTTCACCCCCACATCCAGCGCTGACGGGTGTCCTCCCAGTCCCCCCTCGCTGGCTTTCCAGCCTGCTACCCCTGAGTCAGAGCCTGTCCCCCTCCCACAGTTATCTTCAGGGAGGTCTCCTAACATGGCTCAGGAGGCCCTCACGCCTCCACAGCCCCGCCTTGGCAGCGTCAGGCCCCTCCTGGAGTATCCATTCTTCATGCCCTCTGCCCTTTCCTCCCACCTGGAAAATTCTGTCTCCATCAGGGGTGGTATCTTCTCTAGAAAACATGCTTGATCTCTAAGAGTGACCCTTCTTCGTGCTTCTGTACCTCTTGGTGAACGCTTAGATCATAGCTTTTTTTTTTGGAAGATTTTATTTATTTGTGAGAGAGAACGAGTGAGCATGACCGGGGGTGCGGGGAGAGGGAGAAGCAGGCTCCGCACTGAGCAGGGAACCCAAAAGGGAACTCGATCCCAGGACCCTGGGATCATGACCTGAGCCAAAGACAGATGTTTAACCAACTGAGCCACCCAGGTGTCTCTCTCTCTTTTTTTTTTTTAAGGACAAACATTTCTCGCTCGTCCTCCTTGTTGTCCCACCACAGGTGCTCAACAGATATTTGTTGATTAAATGAATGAGAGTGTTGGCAGTTTGGAGTGGCCATGACTTTTCTAGTCGGGCCTTTTGCCTGTGGCCCAGATCCCTGCCATTCCCTCCGGAGGCTGCCGCAGCTGTAGAGGCGACTCCTGGGAAGTCTTGCCTTCCAGCGTCCTAGGCGGCTGTTGGGCAGGACCTGTGTCCAGGTCTTCGGGCCACGTCTGGCCACTGCCTCAGTCCTCTGCTGCCTTTGCCTTGCAGGAAGATGGACCAAGGTCCCCTGTGCTCCTTTCTCCAGGCACTTCCCAAGGCAGGGCCATGCTCACGTTCATGGCCTCTGACAGTGAGGAAGAAGTGTGTGACGAGAGGACGTCCCTGATGTCAGCTGAGAGCCCACCGCCGCGCTGCTGCCAGGAGGCCCGGCAGGGCCTGGAGGATGGAGAGAATGCTGCCCAGTGGGTAGGTTCCCGCCAGCGGTCAGAGGCCCCGGGCTCCTGGCCCTCATGGATGGAACCCAGACATGCCCTGATGCGGGAGGGTTGGGAAAGTAAGGATGAGAATCGGTCGCCAGGGTGGGTCCCCCAGGGTGGGTGGTGGGGCCCGGTCAGTGAGGGCTCTGGAGTAGACAGCATGTCTGCAGTCTGCCACGGACCGGATGGTTCTGCCCCCAGCCCCCACCTTCCTAGCACAGGTGCTGCACCACGGAGCGTGGGAGCGAGTTTGCATGCTGAGAGGGGAGCACAGGCCCGGGGTGGCAGGGGGAGCACCGCGGAGGGTCGACAACCAGACCTGGGAGCCATGGGATGAGCATCTACCTCAGTCGTGTGTGACTGTTGAGCTGGCTGCCACTTATAAACAACGGAAGTGTATTTCTCACTGTTCTGGAGGCTGGGAGGTGCGAGCGCAAGGTGCTGACAAATCTGGCGTTTGGTTCTTCTGGGTCTTCTCCTTGGGTCTTCATGTGGCGAGAGGGCCAGGGAATACTCTGGGGCCCATTTATTTTAGTTTAGTTTAGTTTCAGAGGTAAAGGTCAATGATTCATCACTCTTATGTAATACCCAGAGCTCATTACATCACATGCCCTCCTTAGTGCCCATCACCCAGTTACCCCATCCCCCCACCCCCTCCCCTCCAGCAATCCTCAGTTTGTTTCCTATGATTAAAAGTCTCTTATGGTTTGCCTCCCTCTCTGATTTCGTCTTGTTTTATTTTTCCCTCTTCTCCTATCTTCCTCTGTTTTGTTTCTTGAATTCCACATATGAGTGAGATCATATGATAATTGTCTTTTTCTGATTGACTTATTTAGCTCAGCATAATACCCTCTAGTTCTATCCATGTCGTTGCAAAGGGCAAGATTTCATTCTTTTTGATGGCTGAGTAGTATTCCATTGTGTATTTATACCACCTCTTCTTTATCCATCCATCTGTCGGTGGACATCTGGGCTCTGTCCATAGTTTGGCTATTGTGGACATTGCTGCTATAAACATCAGGGTGCAGGTGTCTGGGGCCCATTTATAAGTGCACTTATCCTATCAGGAGGGCTCTACCCTCATGACCTGGTCCCTCCCAAAGGCCCCACCTCCAGATTCCATCACATTGGGGGGTAGGGTCCAACGTGTGAATTTTGGGGGGACACAGACATTCCGATCTTATCTCTGCAGGGCAGGAGGCTGTAATATCATGAAGTCGGGGTGCCCTGGGGGAGAGTCACCTAGCCTCACCACTTCCCTCCCCATCAGGGCAAAATAGCATCTGGATTTGCCTGAAACCCCAGCTCCGTTTTGCCCATTATAGTATTTAAAACCTTTCGTGTGGAATTTTTCCTACCAGCCAGCCTTAGTCCCCATTGCTGAAATTAGAGCTCATTTCTTCCATCCTCTGAGCTCCCAGCGAGCTGGTCTCTGGTCTCTCCAGCTCAAGGCCACCGTGAGCCACTCCTAACCCCTCCTTTGCACTTTTCCTTATCTTAGCTGAGTGTCTAGCTTGGAATTCTCTCTGCAAAGAACCTTTTGAATTTGTGTTTCTCTTGGCTTTGTCTTTGGCGGTTAATGTAATTAACAAGGCAGCGAGTGACCCTGAGTTGGCACAATTCCCAAACAGAAATTCTTGCGGATGGGTTTAGGGCAGCGTGTGCCGGTGTCCTGCCCTCCCACCTTCCTGGAGCATGGAACCGCCCCCCAGGGCTTTGGCATCATTTAGCCCATTGGGGTCTGGTTCATGGCTCCCAGTTCTGCATGCCCTATTTTGTGCGTGTCAGGGGAGTTCCAAGTAATTTCTTCCTCTGCAAATTCCCAGTGTCTTACAGAGAGTCCTCATGGGTGAAGACTCTTCTAGTGTGTGTGTAATTGGTCTTCCTCCTCTGTCACCTGGCCAGTCTCCTTCCAAATCTGTATGGCTCCTTGAACAGAACTGAATGGCTTCTGAGTCCCTGAATGGAGGGAGGAGGGAGATCCCTAGACGAGCTTCGGGTTCATGAGCCACATGTCCTGGGCCTACAGGCTGCCATGGCCCCTTCCTGCATTTGCAGTAGTGAGTGCCAGCTATAAATCTTCCCTGGTTGATCTCGTAAATGTTTCCAATGCCCTGCTATCCCAGCACTCCTGCATCTAGAGCATTGCCCCCTAGGCTGGTTCTTCCATCTAGAAGGCAACACTCAAACTGTTCATTTCCAGTTCCAAAACACCTAGGCACTGCATCTCAGGGCCCACCATGGGGGCGTGCTGTGGCCCTCACGGAGCGGTTTTCCACAGAGAAGCCAGGATAGTGAGGAGGACCTCGAAGAGGACGCGGACCACTACGTGTGCAGTGGGGTCCCTGGGCAGCCGTCGGGCCTGGAAGAGGAGCTGACCCTCAAATACGGGGCGAAGCATGTGATCATGCTGTTTGTGCCTGTCACGCTGTGCATGATTGTGGTGGTGGCCACCATCAAGTCTGTGCGCTTCTACACGGAGAAGAATGGCCAGCTGTAAGTTGGGGAGCAGGGCAGGGTTGGGGGGTCCTCTGCACCCGCAGCTCCATGCCAGGGGCCTGTGCAGAGCTGGGCTGAGAGCTGCCTGACTCCATACTCTGCTCTGTCCACTGCCTCCCCGCTGCGTGACCTGCACGGACCCTTTCCTAACCGCTCTCTGCCTCAGTTTCCTTGTTTGTATAATGGGTCCAACACCAGGAGAATGAGGCAAATGGAACAGTGCCTGCTGCTGTGCAGTGCTAAGGCACACGGGGTTTCAGGGCGGAGGGCAGGCTCTGGCTGCGTGGCCTGGGCAGGGTGTCCCCGGTGTGGGGTCCCGGGGGCAGGTGTGCCACACCACGTGACTGAACAGGTGGTTTTCTCTCTGGGCCTCTGCTCCTGTGGATGGAGACCCGCGTGGGGGCCGGAGATTTCTTAGCTGGCTTCCAGCCCCGTGAGGGAGGCTTGGATCATTTTAGTGGAAGGACAAGTGGGAAGCCACCTTTGCTCCCTTGCTTGCTGCTCTGGCGCAGTCGCCCGCCTCTGACTGCCTTCTCTGAACTTTGTTTTTAATGTTTTTAGTTAGAGAGCATCCTTTTCATTTTGGTTTGGTTTTTCCAAAGAAAGGGGCAGGCTTGTGGTGGGCTGGGGCTGCAGAGCAGGTGGGAGGGGGCCCAGCATGCCTTGTGAGGGAAGGTGCTCAGCAGGCAGGCTTCTGCAGTCCCAGGCAGACAGGGTGGACAGGGCGGGCGGCCAGGGGACGGCTTCTCGCATGTATTGGCTATGGGTGCCACTGCTGCTGGCCTGTGCTGCGTGGGGTAGGGGAGGCGGTGGGCGAGTCCTGGGCTGGCTGTGGGGGTTTGCTGGGCGCCCTGGCCTGGAGGAATGGGGAGGGCAGGAGAGCACTTTAGGGAGGGGGAGGCCTGGTGGGAGTCGGGGGAGAACATTTTGGGGAGGGGGAGGGCTTAGGGGGAGGTGTGGTGTGGGGGGTGGGAGAGGTGTGGTGTGGGGGGAGGCCTAAGGGAGGGCAGGCAAACAGCTTGGGGAGGGGGAGGCCTGGGGGGCCCCTTCCTTTTCCATTCGGGGCTCAGGCATCAGGCTAAGGCTGGGTGGCTCACGGGCAGGCCCTATGGAGCAGGCAGGGAGCAGAGTCTGCAGCCCGCCATCTCCCTCAGCATCTACACACCATTCACTGAGGACACGCCCTCCGTGGGCCAGCGCCTGCTCAACTCTGTGCTCAACACCCTCATCATGATCAGCGTCATCGTGGCCATGACCATCTTCCTGGTCGTGCTCTACAAGTACCGCTGCTACAAGGTGAGGGCCGGCCCCGCCTGCTGCCCCATCCTGTCCGCCTCGCCCCCTGCTGCCACATGCCTGCCAGGGTTCTTGCCCCAGACAGAGCAGACGCTGCTGTTAGATGCTGTCCCCCTGCCCCCCCCCCCCCACCCCCGTGGGGGGGTTGCCTGCTGCCACCGTCCTTGGACCTTGCACAGAATCCCACCTGCCCCCGTCCCTCACTGCAGCGTTCTCCACGTTCAGGAGTTAGTTTTATTTCACTGCTTCTTCCGAAGAAGCAAGATGTTGTATTTTAGGGTCTCTTTGCCCCACACTTCCCCTGCAGGTTTACTCATCCTTCCTATTTCCCTCTTGCTGGCTGTGCAGGTGCCGTGCTGAGGTCTCCTAGGCCTGGGAGACTGGCAGGCCCTGTAGCTGCGGTAAGGCCCCCGGGAGCCAGACAGCAGAGGCTCCGGGGGAGGCCCACCTGGCCTGAGCGGGGCCGCTGTCTCTCCCCGGCAGGCCGTGAGCTTTCAGACGTGGGTTTTAGGGTCTGAACCCCTGAGGCCTAAAAGAAAGACACACTGGGGGTGGCTGATTTGAAGCCATCCTCACACCAGCTGCCACCCTCTGTGGCGCAGGTGGAGAACAAAGAGGAGGCTCAGCCCAGGGACAGGAGCCCATCCCAGCCAGGGCGACGCAGGGGTAGACGACAGGAGGGCTGTCACAAGTGCCGGGACGCCAAGGCTGATCAGTGAATGATGACTTGTGGAAATAAGGCAGCTTTAAGTGGGGCTGGGAAGCAGCGTAGGGGCTGCATGGTCGGAGCAGAGGCCACGGGGCCGGTGAAAATAAGCCAGTCAGGGAATCGGGGCGGGGAAAGCCGGCACTGCCGTGGTCAGCGGCTGTCAGGCGACCCATCCCAGGACTGGTGGGAGGCAGTTCGGTGAGGTATCCTTGCAGGTTCTGTGACACTCAGGAGGGAGGTGATGGTGGTCCTGGGGGGTGAAGGCAGCTGGGGCAAGAAGGATCAGCACGTCCCAGAGGCAGCTGGGCCACCACCTTCATTCCAAGGAGACCCGGTTCCCACTGAGGTACCCGGTGGCCCGAGCCGGTGACTGATGGTGGCAGTGACCCCCCTGTGCCACTGAGGGCTGGCCAAGGGACTGGCTTAGGACCAACCCACCATCATCCTTGACCTCCCTCGTTGGCCAGGACAGGAGGCACGTGTCTCTCTGAGGACCTGTGTATAGACTCTCAGGTGGGAGGGCTGTTCCCGGGGTGACCAGAGAACGCTCCCTCAAAGATGGCGCTGACCACTCTAAGATAGCACCCCAGGGAGTCTCCCGTCACTTTTACCTGACATTCTTTTCTTCGTAGCCCCTGTGACTACCTGTCAATATGCATATACATTCATTAGCTACGGCCCTCACACTGGCATGAAGTGTGTGCACAGGGACGCCGCTGGCTTCCTCCCCGGAGCCTAGGGCCATGCCCGGCAGGTGGGAGTCTCTAGCACATCTTCCCTCAGGGAGGGAGCAGGGCTCTGGCTGCTTGGACCTGAAGGATTCCTGCTCCATGCACTTGCCAGGTGACCTTGAGAGAACTCTGTGAATTTCTTTGCTCTCTTTATTGGTCACACAGCTACTCAGTACCTTCCAGCACACAGTAATAGAGGAGCCTAATGAAGATTCTCAAGGCTTGGGCATGAGACCCAAGAAGCTGGGGGCCTGTATTCATTCTGCCCATTTCTGTTGTCTAGTTCATCCACGGCTGGTTGATCATGTCCTCCCTGATGCTGCTATTTCTCTTCACCTATATCTACCTCGGGTAAGTGACCCTGTGGGCGGCAGGCTCCTCAGGCCCCTCCCTCCCCCCAACCCCCACGAGGCTCCAGTTCTGGGTGAGGAGGGCGCTCGCCCATTGGACTCCAGATTCTCCCCAGTGTCACCGCTCCAAGGGCCTGGCCTTTGATCCCTCCTCCCACGGGCCTTGACCCAGGTGAGGGGCGCTCTGTGGTGGGCCACGCATTCCTCTCTTGTTCCTGATTTAATTGAGCACAGTCAACACAGAGGATGATCTCTGTGAACCCAAGAGGGGTGTAAACCCCTTAAAATTTACATTCTAGTCTTTGGGCCAGGCCGGGGTACTTGCTCATTTATGGGAAAAGTGATCTGCTCTATTGCCTTCTATTTGGAACATCAGCCTGACCCAGGGGCCCGGAGAGACTGAAGAGAGAGGAGGACCTTTTCTTTGGGCAAAGGGTCTTCCAGGTTGTGCCAGCGCATGTGTATGTGAACGAACCCAAGGATGAGATGTTGGCACACTCACCACCTTGTTCCAGAAAATACTTGAAGTGGTTTGTTACAGGAGTCACAGAACCAGGGAAGGGGGTATTAGTAATGAAGCCAGAGGTCGGAAAAACCCAGCTTGGGGCTTAGTGGTTGAGGAGCAGGGGGTGTTGAACTATGTCTAATTAGGGTCTAACCTCTCTGCTGAGTTTCCCACCCCACGGCTTGACTCTGGTTGTGCAGGGAAGTGCTCAAGACCTATAATGTGGCCATGGACTACCCCACCCTGTTCCTGACCGTCTGGAACTTCGGGGCAGTGGGCATGGTGTGCATCCATTGGAAAGGCCCCTTGGTGCTGCAGCAGGCCTACCTCATCATGATCAGTGCTCTCATGGCCTTGGTATTCATCAAGTACCTCCCGGAGTGGTCCGCGTGGGTCATTCTGGGTGCCATCTCTGTCTACGGTAGGCAGGCGCAGGTGGGACTCGAGCCTGGTGGTGGGCAGTGGGGGCAGTGTCCAGGGTCGAGTCCTCCTCACTGGTGCCCATGAGTGGTGGGTGCTGACAGGGGCTCCCCCTCTGACGAATGCTGGATGGTCTCCCCTTTGAGAGGCTCGCCTTTGTAAGACACAGGGGCTGTGGGGCTTGGGGCTGTGGACGTGGTCACTAATGATAGCACATCTGTTGAGTGCTCACACTGGTGAGCACTTGACACACTGGGAGGATTTGCTCCTCAGAGCAACCATAGGGTCGATCACAAGACCTGTGAATAACGAGCGCCCAGAACATTAGCTCCTCATTAACTAGTGTTAGTGTGATTCTCTCTCCCTGTCACTTCCATTTTAAGGGTAAGGAATGGGAGGCTCAGGACAGCAAGCCCACCATCGGGGTACCTGAGCCACATGGCAATTCCTTGTTTGCAAGGAATTTAGACCCCGTTCTGGGCTTCAGCCAATGTGGATTCTCAGTGTCAGGGCTGGAAACCATGGGTCGGGAGCTGGCACACAGGACACACTCTGAGCCTCGCTCGGGGGCTCTGGGCTACATTTGCCCTGGTGTTTGCAGCCTGGCTCCCCCTCTCTGGGGGCTACTTGGGAATAAATGTCACTTGCCACATGTCCCAGATGTCTTTGCTCTCCCAGATCTCGTGGCTGTGCTGTGCCCCAAAGGGCCACTGAGGATGCTGGTGGAGACTGCCCAGGAGAGAAACGAGCCCATATTTCCTGCCCTGATATACTCCTGTGAGTGACCCCTATGTCTCTTCCCCAGGTGGGAACCAGGGCTGCTTCCTGGCCATGGCTTTCAGAGTTCACTGATCCAAGGGGAGGGGGTGGCCTTGGTGATCCCAGGGCGGCCCACCCGCTAGGGACAAAAACAGGCTGGATCTTGGTTTCACACAGAAGATGCTTAGAGAGTTAGGGCCAGCCGGGGCTGCAGGGGATGTGGTCCACCCCACAGCTGCGTCGCGTCCAGCATCCAGTGGCATGTGGTGGGTACCCCCCTTGGCCACCCGCTCGGCCCTCCACACTCTTGAGAGGGTGCTTTGGAGAGGGGCTCTGGAGGGCAGGGGTCTGGGGGAGCAGGTGCACCTGCTTTTCGCTGGGCTTCCTCGACGGCTCTGTGGCTGGTTGCAGTTAAGTCTCTGAAGGGAAGGCACACGGGATTGCTGCTGGCTGTGGGGCCAGTGTGTAGGGATTTGGATTTATATATGCATTCAACAGACAAGCATCAGCTCCACACTTTGCAGCAAGCACAGTGCTGGGCTTTGGCGGTGCCACAAGAAACAAGACCCACGTGGCCCCTGGCCTCACAGTGCTCAGAGCCCTGTGGTCCTAATGCCCTCCCATCTGTCGATGGGCATATTTGAGGAGTGAGCCTGAATACCTGGGGCTCAGCTGTCTGCAGGGTGCAGACCGGCTGCCAAGTGCTGGATAACATCTACAAAGGCAAGATGGAACTTGGATTGGGAGCTGTTGGCAGGTGGCCCACAGCCTAAAAGCAGGTTCGAGGCTGCTCAGAGAAGCAGAGCCACGTGTGGGGGCCTGAGACCGGGCTCATACCTGTGTTCACCATCTCTGTGCTCTGGGGGAGCGCACGTTCTCAGAAGGGAGATGTGCTTTGTCAAAAGATGAAGTGGTAGGGGAGCTAAGGACTTTAGGGGAGGAGTGGGGGTACTGTTTTGTGTCAGGTAGTCAAGGAAACCTCTGTCATAAGGTGACATTTGACTGGAGACCTGCCCTAGGAAGCCCTGGGGACAGAGTTCCAGCAGAAGGCCCTGAGGTGGGTGCGGCCTGGTGCGCTGGGGAGCCAAAGCTGCCGGGGGACAGAAGGGAGGAGGGGGCAGGTCCAGGGGCGCTGGGGAGCTGAAGCCACTGGGGGGGCAGAAGGGAGGAGGGGGCAGGTGAGGGGCTGCTGGGCCTTGCAGGCCATGATGAGCACTCGGCTTTCACTCCTTAGTGAGCTTCACGCCCTGGAAGGCTTTGGACCGAGCTGACATGAACGTTTTAGCAGGATCACTCAAGTTGCTGAGGGGAGAGCAAAAGTCATGGTGACAAGAGTGGAAGAGAAGCTGGGTTTGGGGGTGACTAGCAACCCAGGAGCTGGGGGGTGGGGGGGGCTCTGGCCCCAGGGGAGCGGTAGAGGCTTTGAGACTGGAGATACTTTGGAGGCAGAATTGGCAGGATTTGTGATGCTTGGGGTGCGGGCTAGGAGAGAGTCAAGGATGTCCGTGCATCATGGGGTCTGAGCAACAGTAGGGATGGAGGTGCCACTTAGAGGGACAGGGTGGGGCCAGCGGGGCCGCGTGGCCGCCATGGGGAATGTTCAGGCGAGGCATGCTCGGAGTGGCCAGATGGAGACTCGGAGAGACGTGTGTGGTGGGAGTTCAGGCGAGAGTTTCCCAGCCAGAGAGAACCCAGTCAGTGCTCCCTACCCAGCGATCCCATCCTGGACGGAAATCCAGGGGAATCAGATGCAGGGTCTCGAGCATATGTCTGCACACCCATGTTCTCAGCAGGGTCATGCACGCTAGCCAAGGGCCACGGTCATGCCGATGCCCATTGACGGACAGGTGGGTGAACGAAACGTGGTGAACCCACGTGGTGGAGCATCACTCAGCCCTGAAAAGGGAGGCATTCTGACACATGCCGTGGATGAACCTAGAGGCCACCATGCTGAGTGAATGAAGCCAGTCAGAAGAGGAGATGCTGTGGGATCCAACTTTATGGAGCATCTAGAGGAGTTAGGAACTGGAATCGTGGGGGAGGGGAGGCGGTGTTCAGAGGGTAGTTTCAGGGCCAGAAGACGAGCAGCTCTGTGGTCTATCTCACAACAGAGTGGATATAAAAAAAAAGCCCAGGAAAGGCATTGTCTGCCCACATCTGGTGATTCTGGACCCCTCCCCCAGGGGGCCCTGAACAAGGGGCATAGGCACGTCCCCGCTGGAGGTGATGGTTTCTGGGGATGCTGCCTCCCAGGCCCTGGGGGCAGCCTCACTCAGCAGTGCCTGACGCAGGACCTTTTCTCCTTCCGCAGCTGCCATGGTGTGGACGGTGGGCATGGCCAAGCTGGACCCCTCCTCCCAGGGAGCCCTTCAGCTGCCCTATGACCCCGAGATGGGTGAGTGTCAGGGGACTGCACCTGCACCCAGGTCCACCTGGCCTGGCCTCTATGGGGGGTGCAGGACCGGGAGGCGCGTGCTGGGGACTGAGCGTAGCGGAGAGCCTTTCTGTCTGCGTCAGGGCGGGGCTGGCTGGTGGGTGAGGGCCAGGGAGCCCTGAGCTCAGAGCTCCCCCTGACTGGACTTCTGTCTCTCTCCCTCGCCCCCGCCTCACACCGGGACGGTCACATTCTCTTTGTGGACACCCAGAAGAAGACTCCTATGACAGTTTTGGGGAGCCCTCATACCCAGAAGTCTTTGAGCCCCCCCTGCCTGGTTCCCCAGGCGGGGAGCTGGAGGAAGAGGAGGAAAGTAAGGTGCCCATGGCGAGAGGGTCTGCGTGGGCCCAGGGGTGGGGCAAGGGTGGAGCTGGGGCTCCCTGAGGTCGGGGGGGGGGTGTGGGGAGAAGCCCCTCCTCATGTCAGAGATGGGCACAGAAGTCCAGGAGGAGCCTGCACAGGTGGGGTCCAGGCAGTCTTCCTGCTAAGCCACGTATTTACCAGATGTGAGCGAGTGTGGATGGTGTGTCTCTACCATGCTGGGTGCGAGCAGTAATCCAGGCCTGGCTCAGGTGTACAGGGCATGGGTCCTGATCACCCACACTGGGCCGGGAGGACCATGCGGGAGAACACGGGGGCCAGAGCACAGTGACCCAGCTCCTTGACCTGCTCTGGGGGCCCCAGGGGAAGTTACCTGAGGTGGGGACTTCTGAGCTGAGCTCCAGGGGTTGAGCTCTGGGAGCAGGGGATGCAGGGGTGGGGGTGGGGGTGCAGAGGCTGGGGGGCCGGCAGTTCAGGGTGATTTAGAGGAAGCCCAGGCAGGATACCCAGACCAGAGATGCAGACTTGGGACTGGGAGGCTCGTTGGGGCTCAGAGGGCCTCCCAGATTGAAGTGGGGGTTCTGGCCTGTGCACCATGCACAGCCACCAAGGGTTTTGAGTTTTGTGGGAGGAAGGACGTGACCCAGAGGGGGCAGGGTTACAGATGGTGGAGAATTCCATCCCAGCATGCACTTGCATGGCCGAGGAGGTCCCAGTGTAGCCGTGGGGGCACAAGGTGTGGGTTTGGGGCTCAGGGGCAGACTGGGCTAGGCAGCCACTAACAGCCCTGCCACACGCTCCGGGCTGCCATGGGTTGTGGAACACGGGGTCCCATGTGCCACCCGACACACAGTAGGTTGGCCATACCTGTGTCCTGGTGGAAGGACTATTTTTATCCTCTTGGAAATGTGCCCTTGGGCCTGTCTTCAAGACCGTCTTCCACACAGGCCCTTCCCTGTCTCTTCCTGGGGGTCACTACCCAATTCTGCCCCACTACCCGTCCAGTTTCAGTAATTCTCTAGAACGACTCACAGGGCTCAGGAAAGCGCTGTGCTCACAATTACAGTTTTATTATAAGGGAGACAACTAAGGACCAGCCGCGTGAAGAGATGCAGAGGGCAGGTGTGGGAGGGGCCTGTCCCCCCAGAGGCCAGCTGGCTCCAGTCCCCGCCCCCTTCTCACAAGGTTGGTCTTTCTGGTAGACCAGCCCCTCCTGATCCTCTCACTTGCATGAACTCAAGGGTTTAGGATCCTGGGTCTCCTGAATAACAGACACTCCTGTTACTTGGGAAATTCCAGGGATGTAGCCTCCCTCCCAGGAAGCAGGGACAAAGGCCAGAAAAATTCCTTATGACCCAGCAGCACAGGCTTGAGGAGGGAGCCTTGGGGAGCAGCTGAGTGTGCAACACTCAGGGTGCAGCTGAGATTCTGCCCTGGAGGCAGTGGGGAGCCCTTAGTGGTTTGTTAGCTAGCATTTGAGGTGGACCCTGGCTGCAGGAGGAGCTGACCCTGCTGGGAGACCAGGCCCCTGGCAGCAGTGAGGGAAGAGCCACCCACGCAGGCTCGGGCTGGGAGGAGATGGTGTGGGAGGAGCCGGCGGGAGTGTGGGGGTGACCCAGGGGCACATGGGGCATGCGGGGCAGACAGCTGGAAGCATCTTGGGACCTGCAGGGGGACACTCAGCAGCCACATGGAAGGGAAGCTTGTTCTGTTTGAGGCCAGGGTTTGAGTCAGGGCATCACATACATGTCAAAACCTGGGTCTGAAGGGGGGCCTGGGGAGGGTTCAGGTCAGAATTAGAGACAGAGGGGCTGAACCTGGGTCTGCACAGTGAGGAGGAAGGGAGAGTGCCAGAGGAGGACCTGAGGAGGACAGGGGACTGAGCAGGGAGCAGCCTGAGGCCGCGGGCATCCACGGGTGGTGTGCTGGCCTCCCCCCTGCACCCTGACTGGGGGGGACCTGGGGCTTCCGGGCCTCACAAGTGCACAGGACGGGAACACAGAGCTCTTCTGAGAAAGAAGAGATAAGGAAGAGGGGAGAGCGGGAAAGCTGGGGGGGGGGGCGGTGAGCGAGAGGGAGACTGACAGACCACAGTGAAGAGCGTGGTGGAGACAGACAGCTGAGGAAGGAAAGCAGGCTGGGGGCAAGAGCCAGCCTCCGGAGGTCTGGTAGAGGGTGGCACGGGGTCCAGCCCCAGCCAAGGAGCCCCCGTGAGCAGGAGGAGGCCGCAGAGGGCCAGACAGGCAGCTGGCCCGCACGTGCGACTTTGTTAGATAAACATTTGTACCGTCTGCGGTGAGCAGTTCCCTGTAAACAAGTACTCCGTCCGGGCAACCCCATCTAAAGGAAACAGAAGCACCCTGCGAGTTTTCGAGTTCTCATTTACTGTCGGCAAGAGATAAGCTTATTACCAATTATGCTTACCTCTTTTTAAGGGGAAGGGTTGCCAGAGGAGCTCTAAGCACTGTATGCACTCTTGAAAGTAGTGAAATAAAATTTCCTAGAAAATATTTCTAACATAAACTTAGCAGTAAATTGTACAGCCTCCCACTGACCCCTGAAAATACATTTTATTTGCTCTTTTCTTACTCAACTGTCAAGCACCAATTTTACCCGAATTGTCAGAAATGCCAGCTTTTCACAGCCCAGATGGCAGGTGGCCTAGCCCAATGGCCCCACTCTTCCCACTGGCTGCTGGTTTTCTGAGGCAGCCAGTCCTTGCCCTGGAGGCCAGATGAGGTGGGCTGGCAGCGACCCTGCCCCATCTGGGCCCCCACAGGCCCCAGGACTCTGGCCCAGGTCCCTTGGATCCCTTGGGGCAGGCGGAGTGGCTGGGGTGTGGGCTGGCATCCGCCTTCTCCACCACTTCCTCTTGGGGCTCCCGATACCAACGGGCTCGCTCTCTTCCCCATACAGGGGGTGTGAAGCTTGGCCTGGGGGACTTCATCTTCTACAGTGTGCTGGTGGGCAAGGCGGCAGCCACCGGCAGCGGGGACTGGAACACCACTCTGGCATGCTTCGTGGCCATCCTCATTGTGAGTGGGCCGGGGGTGCACCTGCCCTGTCTTCCCGGTGGTGGGGGGGGACCTGGATCCGAGGGGAGTTTCAGATGCTGCTGTCCCTTGGAGGGGCAGGGTGGTGGGGGCTGGACAGGGCTGCCAGGAAGCCCCTCGAGATGAGACAGGCTTACAGGAGGGTCCAGGCAGGGCAGGTATGGCTGAGGAGCTCTGGCATTATGGACCATGCACATGGCCATGCAGAGGCTTGGCCGACTTTGTGTGCAGTCTCATGACATCTGTGAGGCAGGGAGGGGACCCCATCACTTCGAACCCCAGCAGTGACTCAGTGTGGCCAGATACCCATGATGGGGAAGTGTCCTAGGAGGATTGCATCTGAGAGGTGGAGGCTCTGAGCAGCAGGTGCTCCACTCTCTGCCCTGGCAAAGCTGGGTGTCACAGGGCGCCGGAAGGCTGAGGCTTGTATTCCTGGGGATTTCCTACCTGCCCACAGCATGTCAGGGATGGAGTAGCGGACCCCCAGCCTCCTCCACCTCCAGACTGTCTGACATGAAGCCCTGCCCTACCCAAGGACAGGGCAGCTGCTCTGGTCCCCTGTCCCCTCCCTGGATCACTGTCCCCATCAGCCAGGGCAGGACAGGACAGGCAGCCACTTCCATGGGGATGGGTCACATGGCATCTTTGGTTCTCTAGAGGCGCCAATACTGAGACCCTTACCAGCCTTTCCATGGAGCTTGTCCAGCTCTTTATAAATACACATCCCTCGAGGGGAGGCTGCCTGCTACTGGTCTCGTTGCCAGGTGGGGGCGGTGGTCTGGTAGAGCAGCGCCGTTCTGGGAGTCAGGAGGCTCCCACGTTAGCGTGCAGGGTGTTAAACGGGGCGAGCGCTCCCCCTTGGGCATGGCACAGAGCTTTGAGAGCAGCCCTCCGCGTCCCGCAGGGTTTGTGTCTGACCCTCCTGCTGCTTGCTGTGTTCAAGAAGGCGCTGCCCGCTCTCCCCATCTCCATCACGTTTGGGCTCATCTTCTACTTCTCCACGGACAACCTGGTGCGTCCATTCATGGACACCTTGGCCTCTCATCAGCTCTACATCTGATGGGGGTCGGGCATGGGGCTGGCAGCCGTGGGAAGTCGTCATGGGTGCCCTCGTATAGTTCTACGCTCTAGTGCCATATATTTTTAAGACATTTCTTTCCTTAAAAAAAAAAGTGTCCTGTTTACTTGGCGAAGAGGAAGGACCAGCTTTTTGGTGCCAGTGGTTTTGTCACCTGACCACGGCTCACTGGCCAGAAGCGCCGGTGTTCAGTCTGGAGGAGCCCGGGACGGCTATGCCACGTGGGGAGGACGTGGAGAAGTCGCCCAGCCCCACACCGCAGCCTGGGATGCTCCGAGGGCCAAGGCGAAGGAAGGGACCAGGAGTTCATGCTCGGGATGGCACCTAGCACCTGCCCACTCCTGCGAGAGAAGAAAGCTGGTTTGCCCTGCGTGGAATGTCCCCAACGCTTTGTCTATGATGTCATCGTTATTTTACTACCTTTAGAAATTGAGTCCTATTCTTGTTAGGTAGTTACTGTTGGGAAGTGGCTTAATATCAATAAATAGATGAATCCTCTTGGAATGCTGGAGTTTGGCGTGTTTGTAAGTGTGGACCTTGCTTCCTGCGTCTCGTGGCCTCTCCTGGGAGGACGTGTGCTCTGAGGACAGAGGGGGAGATTTGCTCCGTCGCCTCACTGCTCATGTCTGTCTGCAGTCATTTCTCTAAGTAGAAGGCTTCCTAAGCCGGGCTGTGTGGAGCCAAGACAAGCAGTGTTGCTCCTTGACAAACCAGCAAGTGGGAGGCTGGATGGGGGCCACGTCTGGAACCCACTGTTGTCCCTCCTGTGTCCATCTCTGGGCACTGTGATTGGGGCGTCGACCCGTCGGCTTCTCCCTTTCCTGTCCACATCGGCCCAGGCCATGGAGAGAATCTCAGCGATGCTTCTGGCCGGGGCTCGGGTGCTCGAGGCAGTGCTGGTGGCCGCTGGTGGTGCAGTGCAGTGTGGCTGGCCGGCTGCTGAGCCAACACAGGGCCTTGCAGTTCTGACTGGTAGACCCACATCCTTGTTCCCGAAATAACGTGAGTACTGAGCAGTTGGTGATTTATCATGAGAGAAATAAAAGTGTTTTGATGTTTGATGTAGCTTGCCGTTCCCTGGACTGTTTGTAGAAGTGCAGAGGGGATGCAGGAACCCGGAGGCCAGATGCAGACTGGTGGGGGTGGAATCCGGACACCATCCGCTGCTGACTGACTCATGGTCAGAGCCCAGGGTGGTGGCAGGCATCACAGCCCAGAAAGCCGACAGCAAGTTGGAGTCTCAGAAGACGAGGGCTGGTCCCTGGTGGTAAAGGGGAGGAAGATCGGGGATTAGCTTGTTCAATTTGGCAATCCAAACAGTAGTTGGGGGGTTGGGGGGTCCCAAAGATGAGCTTTAATAAGTTCTGATTTGTTAGGTGTGGAGAGGTCTTTGTCAAAGGGCTGGCTAGGATGCTGGGGGTGCAAACCACATTTAGGGGTACAAGCAGAGGGTGGAGGGCCTCGCGTCCAAGTGACCGACAGGGAAGGAGAGAGGAACAGTGCCCACGAAGAAGGCCAAAGACAAGAAAACAGATGAATGTGAGCAGGCCCCAGGGTGCGAGCCCTTGCAGGGGAAACAGCTACTTGAGGAAACCCAGCCTGGGGAAGCCGACCCAGGAGCTGGGAGCCTGGGACCCCAACACAGAGTGTGGGGCAGGGGTAGGAGGACAGAAAGGTGATCAGATATGCTGGAAGGATCAGAGAACGGGCTACACATGCCAACCCCCCCCCCCCCCCCCCCGCCAACCAACTAGTCCTAGTGTTTTTTCCATATTTGCTCTGGATTTGTTTTTAGAAATAAAACCTAATAATCCTGAAGTCCCATTTGCAGCTCCAGGGCCATCTACCCCCCACTTCCGCTGTCCTGAAAGCAACTCGTACCTGTCCCTCCACGTTCAGGTTAGCTCTATGTGCCAGTACGTTCTTTACACTTTATAGAAATGATACCACACTGTATCCACGTGATGACTTCTGAAATTTTCATATTGGTTCTTGAGACGTTCATGGATGTAAATGAAGCTCTGGTTCAGTTATCTGAACTGTTTAATATTCCATTATGTGACATCCACTGTGTACCTGTTATGCTGTTGATGGACGTCGTGGGTTTGCAGGGTTTCTGTGTTAGAACCAGACCACAGGGAGAGCTGTTTCAGGCATCTGGGTGAGTGTGTGCAGTCCCCTCGCTGAGGGCATGTTCCTGCTTGCTCCCCAAGCTCATGGGGCCTTTTGTCCTCTGACAGCGCCCCCTGCTCCCCCACTTGACCTGCACTTGGCATCTTCGGACTTTTCATTTTTGCTGTTTCGGTGGGTGTTCTGTCCCTGAAGTTTGAGTCTACACTGAGCTTGAGCATCTTGTCTCGTATGTTCTGGCTGTGCGGATTTCCTTCTCTGTTCATATCCTTCACCCACTTTCCATTTGGGCGACTTGCCTTTTACTTATGGGTATTTACATCTGTTAACATACATGTTCTGGAGAAACGCTAATGTTTGGTCAGTGACATGCATTTCACACATGATCCCCAGGTGGTGGCTTGTCTCCCTAGCAGTCTTTCTCTGTGCCAAAGTCGTGTTTAAATGTTACTATGTTAAATGTTATGCGTGTCCGTCTTTTACCTTTGGTGGCCTTTGAGGCTTCTTTAAGAGATCCTTCTCTACCGTTGAGGCTTTCTAAAAACCTAAATTTTAATTTTCAGGGCTCCTGGGTGGCTCAGTTGATTAAGCATCTGACTCTTGTTTTCAACTCAGGTCATGATCTCAGGGTCGTGAGATTGAGCCCCCCGCGATGGGCTCTGTGCTCAGTGGGGAGTCTGCTTGAGATTCTTTCTCTCTGCCCCTCCCCCTCTCTAAAATGAATAAATCTTCAAAAATTTTTAATTTTCCTATAAGGATTTTTTATATATCTGAAACTTATTTGTATGTATTGTATTTGGTGGGGGACCCAGTTTCGTTTGTCTATATCTGTAGCCCTCTTTATTGAATGGTCTCTCCTTTCTGTGCTGTCTTGTAGAGCCATCCAGACATCCGCTAGGTCTCCCTGGGCAGGCAGAGCGGCTTGTGGGCTCACGTTCTGTCCCCCAGGTACGTATGTTCTGTCCCACGAGTATGTGCATTCTCCCAAGTCAACACCTAACCAAGTGGGTGAAGCAGAGAAATTCACTGGGGAAAAGAGAAGATGGAGCTCCTCCTGAGCATGTCGATTCCTGGGATCCTGGAGGCAGAGGGTGCGTCAGTTGGCTTACACCGGCTCTCCCAACATAGTTTACAGCTGGAAAACTGCACCGGTGTGGAATTGCTGTAGGAATGAACATGTTGTCCACTGGATGCAAGACTAGCCCTGGGGATTGACCTGGGAGCCGGCTTCCCCTCCTCCTCCGTGTCCCTCCTGTGTGCGTTCCTCCGGCTCCCTTCACTTCCTTTCTCCTCACCTGCTCCTCTGCTCCTTGTTGCCGCCTGGAGCTCACGACTGTGGTCCCTGTACTGCGTCCCCTCTGTGAGGACCTTGAGATGCGCAAAGCCCACTGCCCTGGGTGTCCTGTGCGCTCCCAAGTAAGGCTGGCAGATCCTGGCTCTGCCAGTTACTGACCTGAGCCAGGTTTGGCCGTATGTAACAGCGGCGATTTAAACAAGATGGGTGACCTGTGTCCCACAAACGGGCAGCTCGGGGAGCACATGGTAATGTGTGGTATCGGGGGTCAGGCTATTCTCTCATTTCAGGATCCTCAGTATGCCGCCCACATCGGCTGCCCGGCTCTCACCATCAATCAAGTTCACTCCATCTGGTGTGAAAGCAGGATGAAGAAGGATGTAGCTCCTCTTCAGGCACTTCCCAGATTTGCACCCAGTGCTCCTGCTTATATCCAACTGGCCCTTGGTCACGTGCCCACGCCTTGCTCCAAGGGAGATGGGGAAATAGCTTTATTTCAAGCAGCCACACGTCCACTGAAAGAGGACAAGGGAGTACGCGGTTGGGGTGTGTCTTCTGGTTCACCAGCGTAGATGTCCAAGTTACCCTAGCAATCAGAAGAAGTTATGAGGGATAGCATGAAGCACAAGCTGACGTCTTCAAGGGAGGTGGGAATGGGCACTGGGGAGTGACCAGGGACAGCCACGGGGACCAAGGTGGATGGTAGTCCTGGAGGTAAAACGAGGTGGGAGCGAGAGAGATAGAGGTGAGCCAGGAGACAGCTGACCCCTCCTGCCATCCAGGTGGGGTGGAGTGCCCACGAGTGGCTTGTGCAGGATGGGGTCCAAACCTGCGGCCCCTGCTTTTCCTGCTTTAGACAGCACAGCCCCCCAGTGTAGAAACATGCCTGACCACCCAGTGTAGAAACATGCCTGTGGCCTGTGATCTAGAAATGGGTGTTTTGTTTGAGTTGATGCGGAGGAGGGAGGGTCCTGGGCCATCTGCTGGGAAGGAAGGGCCCTATAAATCCCCACCTTCCCCTTGGCTGCTTAGGGAAGGTCACGTGTATGACATAGGACCTCTGGACAGCTTTGCATGGTGGCGGGGAGGGAGGATCCAGTCTGAGCAGATGGCCAGAGAGCTTGGCAGTGGTTTGCAAGGAGGTCCAGGAGTGGGGACAGGGGTGGGAGGGGCATGGGGCACCCTTGGGAGAACCACAGGGCAGCGGCCATGGACTTCCTGGAGAGTGGTGATACCAGCGACACACCTTCACCCAGGCACATGCTAAGTGAGTTCATGTGGTTAATACCTTTCATCCTTGTATGCCAGGAGGTGGACTAACGTCGCTGGAAGAGGAATTATGGCATCCACATGGTGGGGGAGGGAAAGGAGCCACACTCTGTGCTGTGACCTCACCTGACCCCCAGACTTGGTGCCGTGGACACACCCTGCACAGCGTGTGTGCTGGGGACTCCAGAAGCCAGGGACCAGAGTTCCCTTGCCCCCATGGTCTGCAGTCCTGTGGCCCCCCTGAGGGAGCACTGCGTCTGCTTACAGCTTAGAAACGTTCTCCTTGGATTTCCTCCACTCTTGTTTTGAGGGAGTTTTATTTTTGAGACTGCGGTCAGATTGCTCAGGCTGTTCCTTGTCTTCTCTGAATCCCATCCCTTTGTGTCCCCTCCCTACCCACATTCTAGAATCTGTCTTTCAGCTCTGCAGCACTTTATTTTGGGGCAATTTATATTTTTATTTTCAGTAGGCTCCTCATCCAACATGGGCTTGAACTCATGACCCTGAGATCGAGTCACATGCTCCACCAACTGAGCCGGCTGGGAACCCCAGCAATCATATGGTTCTAACGGGGGTGTTGTTGCTGTGACATATGTGAACTGCAGTGGGTGGGGCTCGGTGTTCGCCTGTGCCGTGCAGTGACCGCCACCCGTGTCCAGCTGGCATTGTCACTGTGACATGCTTACAGGATTCTGTGTGCGAGGAAACTTCCCAAACCCTTCATCTCTACCTGCTCCTCCCCCTCGGCTGACCTGTCACTTTTTATGTAGGCAGTGTCTTCTCAGATCTCCCTGGAAAAACAAAGTCGCTT